TGACGCTGGAAACCTGGAAGGACAACCAGCAGTTGTGAAACAACATTCTGAGAGTTTCATAATACACTGTCTAGTAAAATAAATTTCTCTGATCATACTACACTCACACAAAAGATGAGATCTTGTTTTAACACATTATTATTAATAAATTTATTCAAAACACGTTTACACATTAATTAACCATGGCCAGGTTGTAAAAAAAAAGTAGAAGCATTTTTTTAATAAAAACCACTGATGGCGGTAATAATGTTTAACAGCCAGAACATCTCCATCACTGACTCAAGTCTTCAACAGCACTGGGACAATATTATGACTCAGGTGGGTCAACAAGGTCAAGAATAACCAGCACAAGTATCACACCTCACCTTACCAATGAACTCCAGGAAGATTTGGACAAATTAATGTCTTGGTCTGAAAAATGGTAGACGAAGTTCAGTGTGGACAAGTGTAAACTTCTAGTCCTTGTGAATGAAAATAACCCTTGAAGTTATAAACTTGGTGAAGTAGAACTTGAACACAGAATGTGAAGAAGACTTTAGAGTCATGGTAAACAGAAACCTTAAGCCAGTTTCAGTGTTGTTGTGGTCAGTTCAGGTGGCTGAATCTATCACCAGTTCGAAGCCTCTTCGATTATATTTCATGGGGAGTCATTAAACCCGTAGGGTCTTACAGCGCCTGGGACATGAGATGTGATCAGGTCTGAACCAGGGAACTTTTAATTCCTTAGTTCAAGAACCCTTCACTGTCATACCATTTTCATGAATGAAGCACAATATTTTTTTCATGAATGGAGACCATATTTTCCTCATGAATGGAGACCATATTTTTTCATGAATGAAGCATGTTTTTTCATGAATGAGCGCATATATTTTCTTTCGTGAATGGAGACCATATTTTTCTATGAATGCAGCCATAACACCTTTTCATGAAGAGACATATTTTTTTCATGAATGGACGCACTTTTTCAGAGTGAAGCGTATAATTCTTTTCGTAGGAGCCATCATGTTGTGAAGCCCCAAAACACCGCTTATCAAAAAAAAATAATTGATATTATATTCCAGATATGACCACTACTATCTACGATGAATTTAATTTCGTTACCTATCCAGAGGGTGTGTGAACCTGAACTTATCTACAATCTTAAAAAAAAAAATCTTATATAGATAAGAAAAAATATGACCAGTCATTATATCATTGCATGTGTTGATGCCACTTGTATAATATACAAGTAATAATTTAAATTCGTTTTTTATTGTTTACCTATCAAGGTGGTGGAAGCTGGAACTTATCCTACAAGTTTATAACGAGGAAACTGGGTAATATGAGATAAGGAACAATGTACAATGACACAGTGTATTATTATCACTTGAATGTGGTTGTACTGACCACCTTGGCATTTATAATGTATAAGCTGATAAGTGAATAATTTTAAAAAATTGGTATTAATTTTAATAAAATGTGGAAAATTACTCATTTGTTTCAATAGTGTGGATGGGAGGCTACAGGAGTCTAGTCACACAGTGTATACTGTAGAAACAGTGTGTTGTAACCTCATAGGGTTTACCGCATCTTTTTGAGTATAATAATAATGTAGCCTCATAGATGAGTAGTCACAGTGTAGTGTAGCCTCATAGATGAGTAGTCACAGTGTAGTGTAGTTTCATAGATGAGACTAGTCAGTGTAGTGTAGCCTCATATTATATATACGTGTGTATGTATATATATTATATATATATATATATATATAATATATATATATATATATATATTATATATATATATATATATATATATATATATATATATATTTATATTATATATATATATATATATATATATATATAAATAAAAATACTTGAAATGAATAAAATAATATATATATTTACTTAATATTTCATATTATAAAGGAAAAACTCTGAAAGTGAGAAATTCCAAGGTTCGTGATACTAATATCAAAGGGATCTGAAAGTGAAGCATCAGGAAGCTATCAAGGTCGGCGCCTCACTATCAGATCCCACAACGGTTAAACACGTGACGCGCGGCGAGCCAACTTGGATAGGTCCTTTGCACAACTCACCCCCAAGCTATTCTACCCAAGAAAATTTAAAAATTATTTGTCCAGTGTATTATTAAATTCTTCCCAAATTCTATTAATTATAAATGGATCTAATTTATATAAACCAAAGGAAATATTCATATTATTGTCAAAACTGCTTTTTATGTTGAGAAAGTAGTATCAAGCAAGTCCATGGTCGACAGGAATATAATTGAATCTTGTTTCATAAAAAGCAGTTTTGACAATAATATGAATATTTCCTTTGGTTTATATAAATTAGATCCATTTATAATTAATAGAATTTGGGAAGAATTTAATAATACACTGGACAAATAATTTTTAAATTTTCTTGGGTAGAATAGTTTGGGGGTGAGTTGTGCAAAGGACCTATCCAAGTTGGCTCGCCGCGTGTCACGTGTTTAACCGTTGTGGGATCTGATAGTGAGGTGCTGGCCGGACCCCTTATATAGCTTCCTTGGATGCTTCACTTTCATAGTTCCTTGATAATGTGAGTAGTCACGAAAGCGCTTGGAATTTCTCTATTCTTTCAGAGTAGTTGTTTTGCATATTTTGAAATCACCTGTTTACTGTGATCTTATTGCATATATATATATATATATATATATATATTATATATATATATATATATATATATATATATATATATATATATATATATATATATATATACATACATACATACATACATACATATAAAGTAATCAAGTTAAGCGTTAAACCCAAAAGGGTTATACAGCTCATATAGGCGAAGATTAATACCAGTGTATGGAAAAAGGTATGTACATGACTGAACTGTACATAAGTGTCTTCCACATGTGGGTAGCAGCAGACCATTTTTGAGTAGCAGAGTGAGGTGAGTAGCAGAGTGAGGTGAGTAGCAGAGTGAGGTGAGTAGCAGAGTGAGGCGAGTAGCAGTGTGAGGTAGCAGTGAGGTGAGTAGCTGAGTGAGGTGAGTAGCAGAGTGAGGTGAGTAGCAGAGTGAGGTGAGTAGCAATGTGAGGTAGCAGAGTGAGGCGAGTAGCAGTGTGAGGTAGCAGTGAGGTGAGTAGCAGTGTGAGGTAGCAGAGTGAGGTGAGTAGCAGTGTGAAGTGAGTAGCAGTGTGAAGTGAGTAGCAGTGTGAGGTAGCAGTGTGAGGCGAGTAGCAGTGTGAGGCGAGCAGCAGTGTGATGTAGCAGAGTGAGGCGAGTAGCAGTGTGAGGTAGCAGAGTGAGGCGAGTAGCAGTGTGAGGTAGCAGTGAAGTGAGTAGCAGTGTGAGGCGAGTAGCAGTGTGATGTGAGTAGCAGTGTGAGGTAGCAGTGTGATGTGAGTAGCAGTGTGAGGTAGCAGAGTGAGGTGAGTTAGCAGAGTGAGGCGAGTAGCAGTGTGAGGTAGCAGAGTGAGGTGAGTAGCAGTGTGTGAGGCGAGTAGCAGTGTGAGGCGGAGTAGCAGTGTGAGGTAGCAGAGTTGAGGTGAGTAGCAGTGTGAGGCGAAGTAGCAGTGTGAGGTAGCAGAGTGAGGTGAGGTAGCAGTGAGGTGAGTAGCAGTGTGAGGTAGCAAGAGTGAGGCGAGTAGCAGTGTGAGGCGAGTAGCAGTGTGAGGTAGCAGAGTGAGGTGAGTAGCAGTGTGAGGCGAGTAGCAGTGTGAGGTAGCAGAGTGAGGTGAGTAGCAGTGTGAGGCGAGTAGCAGTGTGAGGTAGCAGAGTGAGGCGAGTAGCAGTGTGAGGTAGCAGAGTGAGGCGAGTAGCAGTGTGAGGTAGCAGGTGAGGCGAGTAAGTAGCAGTGTGAGGTAGCAGAGTGAGTGAGGGAGTAGCAGTGTGAGGTAGCAGAGTGAGGCGAGTAGCAGTGTGAGGTAGCAGGAGTGAGTGAGGAGTAGGTAGCAGTGTGAGGTAGCAGTGAGGAGTGATGTGGAGTAGCTAGTAGTGAGGTTAGCAGGTGAGGCGAGTAGCATGTGAGGTAGCAGAGTGAGGCAGAGTGAGGTGAGTAGCAGTGTGAGGCGAGTAGCAGTGTGAGGTAGCAGAGTGAGGTGAGTAGCAGTGTGAGGCGAGTAGCAGTGTGAGGTAGCAGAGTGAGGCGAGTAGCAGTGTGAGGTAGCAGAGTGAGGCGAGTAGCAGTGTGAGGTAGCAGAGTGAGGCGAGTAGCAGTGTGGAGTAGGCAGAGTAAGAGTAGCGAGTAGCAGTGTGAGGTAGCAGAGTGAGGCGAGTAGCAGTGTGAGGTAGCATAGTGACGCGAAGTAGCAGTGTGAGGTAGCAGAGTGAGGCGAGTAGCAGTGTGAGGTAGCAGAGTGAGGCGAGTAGCAGGTGTGAGGGCGAGTAGCAGTGTGAGGCGAGTAGCAGTGTGAGGTAGCAGAGTGAGGCGAGTAGCAGTGTGAGGTAGCAGAGTGACGCGAGTAGCAGTGTGAGGTAGCAGAGTGAGGCGAGTAGCAGTGTGAGGTAGCAGAGTGAGGCGAGTAGCAGTGTGAGGTAGCAGAGTGAGGCGAGTAGCAGTGTGAGGTAGCAGAGTGAGGCGAGTGCAGTGTGAGGCGAGTAGCAGTGTGAGGTAGCAGAGTGAGGCGAGTAGCAGTGTGAGGTAGCAGAGTGAGGGACGAATAAGTAGCAGTGTGAGGTAGCAGAGTGAGGCGAGTAGCAGTGTGAGGTAGCAGAGTGAGGCGTAGTAGCAGTGTGAGGTAGCAGAGTGAGGCAGAGTAGCAGTGTGAGGTAGCAGAGTGAGGCGAGTAGCAGTGTGAGGTAGCAGAGTGAAGCGAGTAGCAGTGTGAGGTAGCAGTGACGCGAGTTGCAGTGTGAGGTAGCAGAGTGAGGCGAGTAGCAGTGTGAGGTAGCAGAGTGAGGCGAGTAGCAGTGTGAGGTAGCAGAGTGAGGCGAGTAGCAGTGTGAGGTAGCAGAGTGAGGTAGAGAGTGAGGGAGTAGCAGTGTGAGGTAGCAGAGTGAGGCGAAGTAAGAGAGTGTGAGGTAGCAGAGTGAGGCGAGTAGCAGTGTGAGGTAGCAGAGTGAGGCGAGTAGCAGTGTGAGGTAGCAGAGTGAGGCGAGTAGTCTCGTCTCACGTCAGTGTAAACTGTTGTAGCAAGTATAATGTTGGTAGACGGGAAAGTCTAAGAGATCTTCCGAGACTATTTATTTCAATGTTGTAGTGATATCACCGTCTTCAAGAATCATGTTCTGGAACATAACATGATAGTGCACAAGTATAATAATTGCATCACCATCTTCAAGAATCATGTTCTGAAACATAACATGATAGTGCACAAGTATAATAATTGCATCACCATCTTCAAGAATCATGTTCTGGAACATAACATGATAGTGCACAAGTATAATAATTGCATCACCATCTTCAAGAATCATGTTCTGGAACATAACATGATAGTGCACAAGTATAATAATTGCATCACCATCTTCAAGAATCATGTTCTGGAACATAACATGATAGTGCACAAGTATAATAATTGCATCACCATCTTCAAGAATCATGTTCTGGAACATAACATGATAGTGCACAAGTATAATAATTGCATCACCATCTTCAAGAATCATGTTCTGGAACATGACATGATAGTGCACAAACATATAATGTCACATTTCATTTACAGGAAGTTGTTTATAAATTTACAAGTGATAAATATATTAACATCTGACTGCTATTTTTCAGATATTGTTCTTCAACATTACTCCTATGTTTAACTTAATATTATACATGAAATACGATACACTGTCACACAAACATCAATGAGATAAATTTACCCAAAAATTGACACGATTAAAAATTTTCGTAAAGAGGACTAGAGATTCAAAATAAAAATTTCGAGGAAGATGTCTTGATGGTGGTGAAAATCTCTTGATCCAGGGAACTGGAGCTACCTGTCCCTTTCCTCGGATCATCTCTGACTGCCCTCACATATCTCCAGAGCGGATTTAGCGCTCCCCCACGAAATAAAGCCATACAGTATTTAAGCTACGGTCTTATATAAGACCTCGTTCTCATAAAGAACGTTGGCTTTTCAACGTAATTGCTCGCGGTTCAAGTGGCAGCTTCTTTGGTCCACATCTGAAGGACCTGCGTTCGATTCCGGCACGTGTGGAAACGTTGGTCATGTTTCCTTGCACCTTCTGCCTCTGCTCACCTAGCAGTAAATAGGTACCTAGGTGTTAGCACACTTACGGGTGGCATCCAGGGGAAAGCATCAAAGCACCCTGATGGAGGCCCCCAGCTGGCGGAGGCTGCCTTAATCCGGCCCTGGAAATAAGGACAGGTTGTATATAGAGAGCTGCTTGTGACAGTTCTTTGTCAAGGCAGCTTATACCGAAGAACATTTTTTTTTTTTTTTTTACAGAAATCAATTTTAGAGGCTAACTAAGAGCTGTTATCTCGCCTCAGCACATGTCAAAGGCCAGTCGTATCTAAGGTATATTTTCATCCCCTGCCCCCGACTAACACCCAGGTACCCACTTACTGCTAGGTGAACAGGGACAGCAGCTGTAAGCAAACATGCCCAACGTTTCCACTCGTGTCGGGAAACGAACCACGGACACTCACTATGTGAGCTGAGTGCGTTGCCAACCGAGCCACGGGTTACGTTCTGATATCAAGTATTAGTATTATAATCAAAATCAAGCGCTAAACCCACTAGGATCATACAGCACTGATTACAAGCACCCCTAACAAAAACAATCAAAATTAATTTAGAGATCTTAGAAGTTGTTTGCATTAATATGACAGATATTGCTTTTATAAAGGAAATTATAGGTCAGAGCTGTGGTCGTGCATCAGTGAGTCTTACTGACGTTACTAGTTTTGGATAAGGGGAGGCTTTGGTAGTTGAGTGAAGGTTGTGGTGGTTAGGGCAGGTGGTAGGTTATAGTGGTTAGGGCAGGTTATAGTGTTGTGGCTGGGACAGGTTTTAGTGGTTGTGGTGGTTAGGACAGGTTATAGTGGTTGTGGTGGTTAGGGCAGGTTATAGTGGTGGTAGATAAACAATAGGTAGTAGTAGTAGTAGTAGCTGTCAGGGTAACTCAGATCTTGAGAGGCTGAGGTGAGTGCGGCAGTAACATGCGGTGTACGGCCTCAGGCTCAACACACACACTGCTGGAGTGTAGGTTAGCGCAGGTCAAGTGTCGCTCACATGGGCAGTGATCGAAGTACACCTGTGGGAGAGTTACACAGGTCAGGAGGTACACCCGTGGGAGTTACACAGGTCAGGAGGTACACCCGTGGGAGAGTTACACCTCTGGCAACGGCCACTAACCAAGTGAGGGCTACAAATATGTGAAAGAAATGCTGCTGCTATGTACACTCAGTAATTTATTATTATTACAATCAAAGCTAAGCGCTAAACCCACAAGGGTCATACAGTACAGTCAGCAAAGAATTATGTACAACATTAAATTTGTAATTAATAAACTAAATGGATTTGTGTGGTGTGATACTCCGTGCATCAGATGGTTATACCTTCGGCCACACTTGTCTGTCACTGTTTCCGAATATTTTTAAGGGATAAGGAAGATGCTGGTCCTAGTGGCTCTTTTATTTCATTCTAAATATTAATGTAGACTGCATTCACCTCTTGGAAACACTTAGTCTGTTGAAGATTTAGAATTGAGAAAGTGAAGGAAGATGGAAGATACAGACTACAGTACAGACATCAACATACATTAACATGATGTAAACATACCCGATAACCCCCACCTACCATGATTCATTTAGCTCACCGCGACCCACTCTGATCTTCCTCCTGGCTTACCACAGCGGCAGTTCTCGCTATCCATCCAAACTCACTCAGCCTAAGAAAAACCCACCTGGTGGAGGACTACGACCCACCTACTGCAGCACGACTCTTCCCCTCCTTGTGTATTAAGAACCTCGTGACCCACCTCGTTCTCGACGTCAACAAGGAGAGCTGAAGCATCACAGGTCTGGCCCCGGGCCTTGTAAGGGAGGCAGTAGGTGTTAGTGGCCAACATGGGCCTCACACAGCACTCGTCCGGGCCACAGTCTGACCATGCCAGACACGTGTTCTTCGTCCGGGCTGCAAAAGGTACACACACGTGATAAAACACACGTCTCTGAGACTGGCAGATAGCTGCTGCATTTTTTTTCTAGGAATTTAGACATTTTTTTGTAGAATTTGGGTATTTTTTGAAGCACAGATATTTTTTAAAGAATTCATGCGGTTTTTTGAAGAATCTGGGTATTTTGGAAGAATTCCGTTTTTAAAAATCTGGTATTGTTTAATTCCGGTATTTTTAAAGGATTTCGGCATTTTATAACATCAACATTAGTATATGATGGTATTTTGGCGAAGAAAATTAAAAAAATCTTATATTTTTTTAAATCTGGCATTTTTGGGGAATTAGCAATGAGAAATTCAGATGTTGTGGAGTGAGAAGTGACACAGGTGAGATAGGTGGCACAGGTGAAACAGACGCCACAGGCGACACAGGTAATATACATCACATAGTTAAGACAGGTGACACATGTAGGATACATGACACAGGTAAGATACGTCACAGGTGACATGTGGCATACATGACACATAAGATACGTCACACAGGTGACACGTGTAGGATAGATGACACAGGTAAGATACGTCACAGGTGACATGTGGCATACATGACACATAAGATACGTCACACAGGTGACGTGTAGAATACATGACACAGGTAAGATGCGTCACAGGTGACACATGTGGGATACATGACAGATACGTCATACAGGTGACACGTGTAGAATACATGACACAGGTAAGATACGTCACACAGGTGACTTACCATTAACCCACCAACTGGGTATCATCCTGTTGGCAACACGAGAGGGTATAGCGAGGCTGCTGCCCACTACCATCAGTAGCAACACCACACTCACTGAGGTCGTCTTCCTCTCACTTGACACCATCTCGTTGCCTCGACCTGACAACACCGCACACTATCTTATACCACACACTGTATCTGACAACAACACATATTGTACCTGGCAACACACACTGTACCTGACAGTAACACACACACTGTACCTGGCAACACTACTCACTGTACCTGACAGTAACACACACTGTACCTGGCAACACTACTCACTGTACCTGACAGCAACACACACACTGTACCTGACAGCAACACACACTGTACCTGACAGTAACACACACACTGTACCTGGCAACACTACTCACTGTACCTGACAGCAACACACACACTGTACCTGACAGTAACACACACTGTACCTGGCAACACTACTCACTGTACCTGACAGCAACACACACACTGTACCTGACAACACTACGCACTGTACCTGACAGTAACACACACTGTACCTGGCAACACTACTCACTGTACCTGACAGTAACACACACTGTACCTGACAGTAACACACACTGTACCTGACAGCAACACACACTGTACCTGACAGTAACACACTGTACCTGGCAACACTACTCACTGTACCTGACAGTAACACACACTGTACCTGGCAACACTACTCACTGTACCTGACAGCAACACACACTGTACCTGACAGTAACACACACTGTACCTGGCAACACTACTCACTGTACCTGACAGCAACACACACTGTACCTGACAGCAACACACACTGTACCTGACAGTAACACACACTGTACCTGGCAACACTACTCACTGTACCTGACAGCAACACACACTGTACCTGACAGCAACACACACTGTACCTGACAGTAACACACACTGTACCTGGCAACACTACTCACTGTACCTGACAGCAACACACACTGTACCTGACAGCAACACACACTGTACCTGACAGTAACACACACTGTACCTGGCAACACTACTCACTGTACCTGACAGCAACACACACTGTACCTGACAGTAACACACACTGTACCTGGCAACACTACTCACTGTACCTGACAGTAACACACACTGTACCTGACAACAACACACACTGTACCTGACAGTAACACACACTGTACCTGACAGTAACACACACTGTACCTGGCAACACTACTCACTGTACCTGACAGCAACACACACTGTACCTGACAACACTACTCACTGTACCTGACAGTAACACACACTGTACCTGGCAACACTACTCACTGTACCTGACAGCAACACACACTGTACCTGACAGCAACACACACTGTACCTGACAGCAACACACACTACCTGACAGTAACACACACTGTACCTGGCAACACTACTCACTGTACCTGACAGCAACACACACTGTACCTGACAACACTACTCACTGTACGTGACAGTAACACACACTGTACCTGACAACACTACTCACTGTACCTGACAGTAACACACACTGTACCTGACAACACTACTCACTGTACCTGACAGTAACACACACTGTACCTGACAACACTACTCACTGTACCTGACAGTAACACACACTGTACCTGACAACACTACTCACTGTACCTGACAGTAACACACACTGTACCTGGCAATACTACTCACTGTACCTCGTACAGTAACAACACACACTGTACCTGACAGTAACACACACTGTACTGGCAAACACTACTCACTGTACCTGACAGTAACACACACTGTACCTGACAACACTACTCACTGTACCTGACAGTAACACACACTGTACCTGACACTACAACACTGTACTGCAACACTACACTGTACCTGACAGCAACACACACTGTACCTGACAACACTGTACTACGACCTGACAGTAACACACACTGTACCTGGCAACACTACTCACTGTACCTGACAGCAACACACACTGTACCTGACAACACTACTCACTGTACCTGACAGCAACACACACTGTACCTGACAGTAACACACACTGTACCTGACAACACTACTCACTGTACCTGACAGTAACACACACTGTACCTGACAACACTACTCACTGTACCTGACAGTAACACACACTGTACCTGACAACACTACCACTGTACCTGACAGTAAACACACACTGTACCTGACAACACTACTCACTGTACCTGACAGTAACACACACTGTACCTGACAACACTACTCACTGTACCTGACAGTAACACACACTGTACCTGACAACACTACTCACTGTACCTGACAGTAACACACACTGTACCTGACAACACTACTCACTGTACCTGACAGTAACACACACTGTACCTGACAACACTACTCACTGTACCTGACAGTAACACACACTGTACCTGAACACACACACTGTACCTGACAGTAACACACACTGTACCTGACAACACTACTCACTGTACCTGACAGTAACACACACTGTACCTGGCAACAACACTGTACCTGACAGTAACAACACTGTACCTGACAGTAAACACACTGTACTGACAGAACACACACTGTACCTGACAACACTACACACTGTACCTGACAGCAACACACACTGTACTGCACACTACCACTGTACTAGCAGTAACACACACACTGTACCTGACACGTTAACACACACACTGTACCTGACAGACAACACATCACTGTACCTGACAGTAACACACACTGTACCTGGCAACACTACTCACTGTACCTGACAGCAACACACACACTGTACCTGACAGTAACACACACACTGTACCTGACAGTAACACACACACTGTACCTGACAGTAACACACACACTGTACCTGACAACACTACTCACTGTACCTGACAGACACACACTGTACCTGCTAACACCTGACTGAACACCATGTACTGACAACACACACACTGTACCTGACAGTAACACACACTGTACCTGACAGTAACACACACTGTACCTGACAACACTACTCACTGTACCTGACAGCAACACACACACTGTACCTGACAGTAACACACACTGTACCTGACAACACTACGCACTGTACCTGACAGCAACACACACTGTACCTGACAACACTACTCACTGTACCTGACAGTAACACACACACTGTACCTGACAGCAACACACACTGTACCTGACAGTAACACACACACTGTACCTGACAGCAACACACACTGTACCTGACAGTAACACACACACTGTACCTGACAGTAACACACACTGTACCTGACAGTAACACACTCACTGTACCTGAACAGAACAAACACACTGTACCTGACAAACACACACTGTACCTGACACACACCACTGTACTGAACACACACACTGTACCTGACACAACACACACTGTACCTGACAGCAACACACACTGTACCTGACAACACTACTCACTGTACCTGACAGCAACACACACACTGTACCTGACAGCAACACACACTGTACCTGACAACACACACTGTACCTGACAACAACACACACTGTACCTGACAAACACACACACTGTACCTGACAACAACACACACTGTACCTGACAACACTACACACCACTGTACCTGACACAACAACACTTACTCAAAACACACTGTACCTGACAACAACACACACACTGTACCTGACAACAACACACACTGTACCTGACAACAACACACACTGTACCTGACACAACACACATCACACACTGTACCTGACAACAACACACACTGTACCTGACAACAACACACACTGTACCTGACAACAACAACTACTACACTGTACCTGACAACAACACACACTGTACCTGACAACACACACACTGTACCTGACAAAAAAACCCCACACACTGTACCTGACAACAACACACACTGTACCTGACACAACACACACTGTACCTGACAACAACACACACTGTACCTGACAACAACACACACTGTACCTGACAACAACACACACTGTACCTGACAACAACACACACTGTACCTGACAACAACACACACTGTACCTGACAACAACACACTGTACCTGCACAACACACTTACTGACACACACACTGTACCTGACAACAACAACACACTGTACCTGACAACAACACACACTGTACCTGACAACAACACACTGTACCTGACAACAACACACACTGTACCTGACAACAACACACACTGTACCTGACAACAACACACACTGTACCTGACAACAACACACACTGTACCTGACAACAACACACACTGTACCTGACAACAACACACACTGTACCTGACACAACACACACTGTACCTGACAACAACACACACTGTACCTGACAACAACACACACTGTACCTGACAACAACACACACTGTACCTGACACAACACACACTGTACCTGACAACAACACACACTGTACCTGACAACAACACACACTGTACCTGACAACAACACACACTGTACCTGAACAACAACACACACATGTACCTGACAACACAACACACTGTACCTGACAACAACACCACTGTACCTGACAACAACACACACTGTACCTGACAACAACACACACTGTACCTGACAACAACACACTGTACCTGACAACAACACACACTGTACCTGACAACAACACACACTGTACCTGACAACAACACACATGTACCTGACAACAACAACCACTGTACCTGACAACAACACACACTGTACCTGACAACAAACACACACTGTACCTGACAACAACAACACACTGTATCCTGACAACACACACACTGTTACTGACAACAACACAACTGTACCTGACACAAACACACTGTACCTGACAACACACACACTGTACCTGACAACACACACACTGTACCTGACAACAACTACACACTTGTACCTGACAACAATCACACATGTACCTGACAAACAACAAACTGTACTGACAAAGCAAACACACATGTACCTGCCAACACACTGTACCTGACAACTTAACACACACTGTACCTAACTAACACACTGTCTACAAACAACACACTTACTGACAACAACAACATGCTCTGACAATACAGGACACTTACCTTTTAAATCACGCTTGGTACTGACAAAAGATTCACCTTAATATCAAAACCTATCTGTTGACACTGACCTTACTTCTGTAATCACACACATTGAATACTGTCAAATTAATTCACCACTTGATACTTGCACTCATGTTACAGATAAAAGCTACTAAAATTGTCTGATCTATATTCCTCATACATAGTCTTGTTATAGGCTTTAACTGTCAACTCATCATTAAGCTCTCTGTACCACTAGCAAGAATACTTACCCTTGAAAGAAAAAATGTGTTAAATTATAACCTTAATTTTAAAGGGTACAAAAACTTAACCAGAATATGAAGGCCTCGGTTAATGACCAATAAGCTCCAGTACGGGTTATATTATGACTAAGACCGGTCAAAACACTGTCTTTTCTGACAAACTCTACCGTAACTAATTTAACCCCTGTCGAAATAATTGCAGTATCGTACATATTAAACATAAGAAGCAACTATCTATTAGTGTACATATCCTGTACTGTGGGTTGCTTTATGACAAATTCGTTCTATAATAAGAGGTCTAACTGTGTATCATGCAGACGAAATATAAGAGAACTCACCCGAGTTGTAGTAACGCAGATAATGTCGTGTCGACGACTGAAACGAAGATGTTTTCCTGTGGTATTTATACCTCCCACGTTATGACGTCACAAAGCTCTTGACAAATCAAAGAAGTATTGTCAGTGTAGCGGCCTCTGGTAGAAGGAGCTCAGCTCGTCCTCCAGAGTCGTTAAGGAACTATTCACAAGACTTAAAATTTCTTCTTTTCATGGTACCAAATATCTTAGTAAATTCTGATGGGTAAAAATCAAAATTTTTCACATTTTACTTATGCAGCACTTCCCACATATTTGATGACATGTTACATGAATCCTCGAGTGCTGAGAACCAGCGTGGAGCCTGCACCTCGTTACTCCAGGTTATGTGCTGACTGACTGGTCGTAGAGCTAAGGAATGTTATAAAGTTAGGCTGGAGTAGAGAAGAGTCAGGTAGATCATGATCACCAAGTACTCTCTGGCACTTGAGGTTTCTAAACCTGTATTCCCTGGAACGCAGGAGGGAGAGATACATGATTATAAACACCTGGAAAATCCTAGAGGGACTAGTACCGAACTTGCACACGAAAATCACTCACTACGAAAGCAAAAGACTTGGCAGACGATGCACCATCCCCCCAATGAAAAGCAGGGGTGTCACTAGCACGTTAAGAGACCATACAATAAGTGTCAGGGGCCCGAGACTGTTCAACTGCCTCCCAGCACACATAAGGGGGATTACCAACAGACCCCTGGCAGTCTTCAAGCTGGCACTGGACAAGCACCTAAAGTCAGTTCCTGATCAGCCGGGCTGTGGCTCGTACGTTGGTTTGCGTGCAGCCAGCAGCAACAGCCTGGTTGATCAGGCTCTGATCCACCAGGAGGCCTGGTCACAGACCGGGCCGCGGGGGCGTTGACCCCCGGAACTCTCTCCAGGTAAACTCCAGGCACTAACAATTTTACCTGGAGTCTACCCGGAGACTATTTTGGGGGTCACCGCCCCCGCGGCGTGGTCCTAGATCAGGCTTCCCAGTTGCTGGCTTCGTCGGCCAGGCTGTTGATACCCGCCGTCCGCAGTCTAACGTAGGCACCACAGCTCGGCTGATAAGGAACTGATTTGAGGAGCTTTTCAAGATCTCTCTTGAAGACAGCCAGAGATTTGTTAGTAATTCCCCTTATGTACGATGGGAGGGTGTTGAACAGTCTTGGTCCCCTTACATTTAGTGAGCTGTCTCTTGGTGTATTTATAGTTGCACTTAATGTACTTATTATTGGAGGTATGTTGCGGCGTCTGCCAGATCTCTTAATATCATACAGAGCTTTGGGCTTAATCCTTCCAGAATTTTCCAGGTATGGATTATGATGCATCTTTCTCGCCAATGTTTCATGGAGTACAGTTGATGGATTTCGAGCGTCCCAATAGGAATATTAAGAAATATACTTTGGAAGGCTTGTTAATAGGTAGAATGGTGCTAGATGAAGAGGTAGTCAAGACAATTCTGCATCTGGATTCAAAACTACAGTAGATATTACAGCAGCAGGCAAGAGGCTAGGAACCCACTACATCATCTGACTAATGGTTTAGTTGCCGGGCCAGGAGCTGGAGTACGAGGGCGCGAGCCCACACACACACACACACACACACACACACACACACACACACACACACAGTTGCTCATAAATCTGCGGGTCGATGTCATCTCAGAGGACTGTTATATCCTCTACTTGACCCACAACACTCCAGCCTAAAGGAACTGTCCCCCTCCCCTGTCCTTCCTATTCTTCCCTCCCACATGCTCTCGTTTTTTACATCTACCTCCACATCTTTCCCCCAATACTCTTTTCTTTCTCTTCCCCCTCCCCTCTTTCTTTCTCTTCCCCCTCCCCTTTCTTTCTCTTCCCCCTCCCCTCTTTCTTTCTCTTCCCCCTCCCCTCTTTCTTTCTCTTCCCCCTCCCCTCTTTCACTCCTTATCTGAATTCAGACATTTATTTACCTCATGTACACAAGTTATGTAATTCATCCTGTGCGATCAAATATAACAGGTAAACACAGATAGCTTTAGTTCCCACAGTGTAATTATCACATAGAATAAGGTACCATCACACACACTGCAGATGCACCCAAATTCGTTACAAAAATGACCTCTTCCCCGGGCCTCCTTGTTATTAAACGTGATCACCCTTCCATCTTGACTCTTCTGATCAGCCAGACTGTAGTGCTTACGTCACGCAAGCATCATCAGAGAAGGAAATGTATTTATTTATCAGGGAAGAAAAGATATATTTTACTTATAAGGAACATATGCAACAGTTAGGTATCTTTATTTCGAAACGTTTCGCCTACACAGTAGGCTTCTTCAGTCGAGTACAGAAAAGTTGATAGAAGCAGAAGATACTTGAAGACGATGTAATCAGTCCATCACCCTTAAAGTTTTGAGGTGGTCAGTCCCTCTACTCCAGACTGAGGGACTGACCACCTCAAAACTTCAAGGGTGATGGACTGATTACATCGTCTTCAAGTCTCTTCTGCTTCTATCAACTTTTCTGTACTCGACTGAAGAAGCCTACTGTGTAAGCGAAACGTTTCGAAATAAAGATACCTAACTGTTGCACATGTGTCTTACCTAACAACCTGTCGGTATTTTATACCATTTGAATGTTCACTTATAAGGAAATTGGGAATATTTCTCGTGACGTGAATTTTACTGGTGCAATGACCACGTTAAATTGTATATCATATACATTGCATCAAGACTGGCTGACCGGGTCATGAAGCAAGTGACCTGGTCTGAGACCCGAGCCGCAGGGACGATGGTCCTTGCAACAATCAATATGTATTAAACATGCAATAACATCCTTTAATAACACGTTTCATCATGATTCATTGTTTCAAATATCTTAGTGAAAGTCATTAATTTCGTTAAACAAGAATTACTTCTTGTGAGGTCGTGTTTACATTCAGCTTCAGATCAAGGTGATGCGGATGTAACTCCAAGCTAAAGACTGTCCTCATTTGTTTTTCCAAACAATTATTTACGTTTGCAAGTCAATATTACCAGAGATAGAGACTATAAAGGATTATAATATCCCCGCCAAGAACTCATTCAAAGTCGAAAATAATGCTAGACAATTATGACGATACAAAATTTGCTAGTTATTTACGTAATTGTAAAGAAAGATTTGGAGAGTAAGTAGAATGATTCTGATAACAGACATTTACATGGCTTCAGATCCACCCACAAACAATGATGGAATATCTTACAACCAACTGAGCGAAGATCAGACCTCTCCAACACGAGTGTCCTCAAAGATTTGTTAAGTTATACCATGAATTAAGGAAAGATCCTGGACTTCACCTTACGAAACCAGACAAAGTAAATGCGATAGTTATTATGTACAAGGCAAATGACAGAAGAAAAATAAACATGATATTAGGAGACAGGGAAACTCAAGTGCCTCTTAATGCAGTGTTGTGACATATTCCTCTCGATGGGGATTATTATTATATTCATGGGAAAGTGCTAAACCCCATATGGGTCATACAGCACCTGGGTAATGGGAGGTAATCAGTTTTAATCCATGGAAACAGATGGTAGCTCTAATTCCTCGGTTAAAGAGCCTTTCATCAACATTAAGACACCTTTCCGAGGAAAGTCGACTTTCGTTGACTCCTGGTCAGTTGTTGTCATTATTCTTGGAAATATGATAAGTGTAACAGCTGTTTTAACGTGATTTAAACTTAGATGATTTAACCTTCATATCATAATATGTTCCTCGCTACTGAGTAAATTAACTGAAGCAAAATTAAAATTCACTCTTTGAGTATCCACCTTTAAATCAACAAGTTAAATTCCTGTATAAAGTAGCGTCTGCAGTCGCTACAGTGCCTGTATTGCGTTACCATAGCAACCTGAGAGCCAACAGTGAGTGCATATATACAGATTTAATAATTCAAGGTAATGAAAGTCATTCGTATGTCTCAGTCTTTGTTTTGCACTAACAAGCGTAGAAACGCGGCAGGTAGTGAACGCTACCTGGACCCACCACACCCTATACAGGTGCACCAATGATCAACGTTACACTCCTAGACAACGACCACCTTCTGCTGGTGCGACAAATAAAATATTGTTCCTAGTACTACTGTGGATGATGTTTCTTGAAGTCTTGCAGGAATCTGAGCCTAGTTTCCACCAGTTTTAACCCAGGCTGAACTTGTGTAACCTACTGTAACTGAAAATCAACTTTAGTGGTATGGAGGGGGAGTTTCAGAGTGGCTAACTTCACTTTCTGTCCTCGGTCAATACTGTAGTTTTGCCCCGTCACTGGCACCCTGTTGGCGGACATTAGAGTGTTGTAAGGTGGAGGTGAAGACGCTGTTAGACAGAGGTTCACAACCTCAAGATGACAGAGGGTTTTATGTATTTGTTGTTGAGATGCTACTGTACCTGGCGACTGTGGGTCCAACACAAGTCGCTCTCGGGTCTTGCTTCTCGGTTGGTCTCTGCAGTACCTGGCAGGCCTAAACTTCATGATAAAACGGAAATAAAACGTTAAAAAAACATCCCATGAGGAGAGAGAATTGGGAAAATGAAAAATTGAGAAATAAGACAGAAATGTGAAAGGAAGAAAAATTTGAGGTTGGCGGGGGGGGGGGGGCTATTTAAAGAAAGACAGCTCTCACTGAAAAACTAAATTTAAATTTCAGAATGCCGAACTTGCCCAGAAAGTCTTCTTCATTCTCTTGTGCTAGAATTTTAGTGTTGCTAAGATGACGATACGTAGTCTTGTATATACTGCGAGGTTCTCCAACTTACATGATAGATCATCTAGAATATATAAATGGTCTTGAACCCATATATGGTTTGTGTGGTAAGAGCAGTCTCGTAGTGGGTAGTGGTCGTTACGGGTGGTCAGAAATGGTCCTGGAAGTGGTTTCTAGACCTTCGTCTAGTCAGAATTAGGCCTTGGAGTAGCCTTCAGCAGGTCTAGGTCCCTGAAGCACCCAGAAGTGGTCCCTGAGGTGGCCAAAATTACTCCAGATGTCCTGGAAGCGTTCACAACCTCCAAAAGAGGTCTTGAAGTTGATCCTTGAGAGTGGCTGGTCGTCAAAGGTCTGCCTCGAGTGGAATAAGAGAAGATGAAGGAAGTGGGGAAGGAGGAGGAGTAAGAAGAGGAAGAGGAGAATCAATGATTCTCACTCGGGAGAGGAATGTTCATGGTGGCTAAGCGTCGGTAGTCTATCTCAAGGGTTCGAAGGTCGACACATTGAGACTTGGACTTGTTGCTGAGAGAGGCGCACATCAGGTCGTACTGGCACGGACAGTCGCTGAAGTACACCTGGAATGGCGATGAGATACACGAGACGGCTTTAATCAGAGCACAAGGAAGTGCAAGTCGCAAAAACTAAATATTGGAAGGAAAACGTATCTTATCTGCTTATCGTCAATGAATATCATGGCCATCTTTTATAGACGTAGTATCAATATGATTTAAATTGACTTAGATCCAATCTCCGGTACCTCAAACTTTGGCACTGTTATATCCGCCTCACAATAAGAATAACTATTTTTCCTTAATCCAGCTTACCCTTCCCTAATTTAGCTCCTCATAAGGAGATAAGTAAGACACATGTACAACAGTTAGGTATCTTTATTCCGAAATGTTTCATTTACACAGTAGGCGAAGGAGCCTACTGTGTAGGCGAAACATTTCGGAATAAAGATAACTAACTGTTGCACATGTGATTACTTATCAACTTGTCAGTATTGCATACCGTTATCATATTCACTCCTCATAAGGAAACATACCTGTTTGGAGAAGTCCAGCATGAGGGGCGAGGAGTCACAGACCTGGCCTCGGGTCCGGAGGGGCATGCAGTAGGCCTTGGAGGAGAGCATAGGCCTAGCACAGCATTCCCCTGGCTCACAGTCAGATTCTGACCAACACACGTTCTTGACTGGTCACACATACCCCGTACAACAACCAGGTTCGTGTGATGTTTAGTAAGGCGTTAGCGTAGTTTTGTTGTGGTTTTGATGGGCCAGAAAAAGGTTTAGTTACGATCTAGTAGGGATTAGTTATAGTTTAACTAGACAAAAGTGAGGTTTAGCAATGTCTTAACTAGTGAGGAAGGATACAAGTAGTAGTAAATGTTTATACTGGAACAACATCTCAGTGTATGTACACAAAGATACACACTTCTCAGTATATAGACATTGACAGATACCCTTCTCAGTGTATATACACTGTTAGATACACACCTGTTTATATACACTGACATACACAACTCTATATACAAAGATACATACCACTCTGATTATACACACGATACACACCTTTGTGTATATATACTGACAGATACACACCTCTCAGTGTATATACACTGACAGAGACACACCTCTCAGTGTATATACACTGACAGAGACACACCTCTCAGTGTATATACACTGACAGATGCACACCTCTCAGTGTATATACACTGACAGATACACACCTCTCAGTGTATATACACTGACAGATACACACCTCTCAGTGTATATACACTGACAGATACACACCTCTCAGTGTATATACACTGACAGATACACACCTCTCAGTGTATATACACTGACAGATGCACACCTCTCAGTGTATATACACTGACAGATACACACCTCTCAGTGTATATACACTGACAGATACACACCTCTCAGTGTATATACACTGACAGATCACACCTCTCAGTGTATATACACTGACAGATGCACACCTCTCAGTGTATATACACTGACAGATGCACACCTCTCAGTGTATATACACTGACAGATACACACCTCTCAGTGTATATACACTGACAGATACACACCTCTCAGTGTATATACACTGACAGATACACACCTCTCAGTGTATATACACTGACAGATACACACCTCTCAGTGTATATACACTGACAGATACACACCTCTCAGTGTATATACACTGACAGATACACACCTCTCAGTGTATATACACTGACAGATACACACCTCTCAGTGTATATACACTGACAGATGCACACCTCTCAGTGTATATACACTGACAGATACACACCTCTCAGTGTATATACACTGACAGATACACACCTCTCAGTGTATATACACTGACAGATACACACCTCTCAGTGTATATACACTGACAGATACACACCTCTCAGTGTATATACACTGACAGATACACACCTCTCAGTGTATATACACTGACAGATGCACACCTCTCAGTGTATATACACTGACAGATGCACACCTCTCAGTGTATATACACTGACAGATACACACCTCTCAGTGTATATACACTGACAGATGCACACCTCTCAGTGTATATACACTGACAGATACACACCTCTCAGTGTATATACACTGACAGATACACACCTCTCAGTGTATATACACTGACAGATACACACCTCTCAGTGTATATACACTGACAGATGCACACCTCTCAGTGTATATACAGAAATATATACCTCTTGTAGAATCATTTCACGCAATAATACAGTTTGTGTATGTTAGCTGTTAATTTTGACCATAAATAAAATAATGTTGGTTGCTTACCCATGGACCACCAGCTGGGGATCATCCTGTTAGCTACACGCTTGGGTACAGCGTGTAGAGGAGCGGCTACAGCAGCTACAACTAACACTAGCAGCAACATACATCCACCACGCTGAAAGTAACACTGCGTTACAACCACGTCAAGGTGAGGTAACACTAAGTCACAATTACTACAACACAACAACCACACGTCACTGAAGGTAACACCACGTCACAACCACTACAACACAACAACCACACGTCACTGAAGGTAACACCACGTCACAACCACTACAACACAACAACCACACGTCACTGAAGGTAACACCACGTCACAACCACTACAACACAACAACCACACGTCACAGTGAAGGTAACACCACGTCACAACCACTACAACACAACCACACGTCACAGTGGAAATAACACCAAGTCATAAACCACTACAACTACAACAAACCACACGTCACAGTGGAAGTAACACCAGTCATACCACTACAAACACAGCCACACGTCACAGTGACGGTAACACCACGTCACAACCACTACAAGACAACAGCCACACGTCACAGTGAAGGTAACACCACGTCACAACCACTACAACCACACGTCACAGTGAAGGTAACACCACGTCACAACCACTACAACACAACAGCCACACGTCACAGTGACGGTAACACCACGTCACAACCACTACAACACAACCACACGTCACAGTGAGGTAACACCACGTCACAACCACTACAACACAACAGCCACACGTCATAGTGGAGATAACACCACGTCACAACCACTACAACACAACAGCCACACGTCATAGTGGAGATAACACCACGTCACAACCACTACAACACAACAACCACACGTCATCTTAAACCGAAATTTAAGGTGACTGAACGAGAATAAAACTGGACACAATGTTACCCAGAAAAATGGTCGGTCAGCTCTGCTCGCCATCGTCATCAGATTAAGAGGCTACGTCACTACAGATTTTGGAAGCTATACGAGCCATTCCAGGACGCTGAGAATGTGATTAATAATTTTGGTCATAAGGCACGTGAACATGTTAATTGTTCAGAGAATATGACCCAAGTTTCCGTATATAAAGGGTGAATATTTGAAGCCGCCTTGAGTTAGCAGCGAAAGAAAAATGAAAAGTTGAAGGAAAAACAAAGAAGAAAAATTCTGGTACTCTCTTATAGGTCCTACTTCAGTGATACCTGATACAATCCTGAAGACACTAGACGAAGTGAAGAGGAAGTCTGAGGTAATCAGTCCCACAGGACCCACACCAAAAGGTTTGTAAATAAAGATAGCGAAATGTATCGCATGTCCTTAAACAAAGAATTATTTAATAACACCAGCAATATGCATGCCACGCTGGACACTACAGACAAACAGTACCATTAACTGGAACAGTCTTTCCCAAGGTATATCAGAATACACACACACAACACACACGCACACGCACACACACACACACACACAACACACACGCACACACACACACACACACACACACACAAACACACGCAACACACACACACACACACACAACACACACGCACACACACACACACACACACACACACACACACACACACACACACACACACACACACACACACACACATACACACACACACACACACACACACACACACACACACACACACACACACACACACACACACACACACCACACACAGAAGGGCAAAGAAGACCGCAGACGGAGTATAGGCTAGGTGGTCAAAGACTGCAAACCTCGCTCAAGGAGAAAGATCTTGGGGTGAGTATAACACCTGGAGGTTACCTGGAGGTTATTCCGGGGATCAACGCCCCCGCGGCCCGGTCCATGACCAGGCCTCCCGATGGATCAGGGCCTGATCAACTAGGCTGTTACTGCTGGCCGCACGCAGTCCGACGTACGAGCCACAGCCCGGCTGATCCGGCACTGACTTTAGGTATCTGTCCAGCTCTCTCTTGAAGGCAGCCAAGGGTTTATTGGCAATTCCCCTAATGCTTGATGGGAGGCTGTTCAACAGTTTTGGGCCCCGGACACTTATGGTGTTTTCTCTTAGTGTACCAATGGCGCCCCTACTTTTTATTGGCGGCATTTTGCATCGCCTGCCCAGTCTTTTACTTTCGTAGGGAGTGATTTCTGTGTGCAGATTTGGGACCATTCCTTCCAAGATTTTCCAAGTGTAGATTATGATATATCTCTCCCTCCTGCGTTCCAACGAGTACAAGTCAAGTGCTTCCAAGCGTTCCCAGTAGTTAAGGTGCTTGACAGAACTTATACGTGCAGTAAAGGATCTCTGTACACTCTCTAGATCTGCGATTTCACCTGCTTTGTATGGAGATGTTAATGTACAGCAGTATTCCAGCCTAGAGAGAACAAGTGATTTGAAAAGGATCATCATGGGCTTGGCATCTCTCGTTTTGAAAGTTCTCATTATCCATCCTATCATTTTCTTTGCACGTGCGATCGTGGCACTGTTGTGATCCTTGAAAGTGAGATCCTCAGACATTACTACTCCCAGGTCCCTTACATTATTTTTCCGCTCTATTGTATGGCCGGAGTCAGTAGTATACTCTGTTCTAGTTATTATCTCCTCCAGTTTTCCATAACGGAGTAGTTGGAATTTGTCCTCATTGAACATCATATTGTTTACCGTTGCCCACTGGAAAACTTTGTTTATATCTTCTTGGAGGTTAACCGCGTCCTCAGCAGATGACAGCCTCATGCAGATCCTAGTATCATCTGCAAAGGATGATACGGTGCTGTGGTGTATATCTCTGTTTATGTCTGATATGAGGATAAGGAATAAGATGGGGGCGAGTACTGTGCCTTGTGGAACAGAGCTCTTCACTATGGCAGCCTCCGATTTAACTCTGTTGACCACTACTCTTTGTGTTCGATTTGTTAGGAAGTTGAAGAGCCATCTCCCCACTTTCCCAGTTATTCCTTTAGCACGTATTTTATGGGCTATTACGCCATGATCGCATTTGTCAAATGCTTTTGCAAAGTCTGTGTATATTACATCTGCATTCTGATTTTCTTCCAGCACATCTTCGAGCACATCTCCGGAAGCACACATCAATCAGATAACTGCTGCGCATATGGGCGCCTGGCAAATCTGAGAATAGCGTTCCGATACCTTACTAAGGAATCGTTCAAGACACTGTACACCGTGTACGTCAGGCCCATACTGGAGTATGCAGCTACTGTTTGGAACCCACACTTGATCAAGCACGTCAAGAAATTAGAGAAAGTGCGACAAGGTTAGTTCCAGAGCCAAGGGGAATGTCCTACGAAGAAAGATTAAGAGAAATCGGCCTGACGACACTGGAGGACAGGAGGGTTAGGGGAGACATGTAACGACATACAAAATACTGCGTGGAATAGACAAGGAAGACAGAGACAGGATGTTCCAGAGATGGGACACAGAAACAAGGGGTCACAATTGGAAGTTGAAGACCCAAATGAGTCAAAGGGATGTTAGGAAGTATTTCTTCCGTCATAGAGTAGTCAGGAAGTGCAATAGCCTAGCAAGTGAGGAAATGGAGGCAGGAATCATAAATAGCTTCAAGATTAGGTATGATAAAGCTCATGGAGCAGGGAGAGAGATGACCTAATAGCACTCAGTGAAGAGGCGGGCCCAGGAGCTGAGTCTCGACCCCTACAACCACAATTAGGTGAGTATACACACAAACACACACACACACACACACACACGCACACACACACACACACACAGGATGTTCCAGAGATTGGACACAGTAACAAGGGGACACAGTTGGAAGCTGAAGACACAGATGAATCACAGGGATGTTAGGAAGTATTTCTTCAGCCACAGAGTAGTCAGTAAGTGGAATAGTTTGGGAAGCGATGTAGTGGAGGCAAGATCCATACATAGCTTTAAGCAGAGGTATGATAAAGCTCACGGCTCAGGGAGAGTGACCTAGTAGCGATCAGTGAAGAGGCGGGGCCAGGAGCTCGGACTCGACCCCCGCAACCTCAACTAGGTGAGTACAACTAGGTGAGTACACACACACACACACACACACACACACACACACACACACACACACACACACACACACACACACAACACACACACACACACACACACACACACACACACACACACACACACACACACACACACACACACACACACACACACATATATATATATATATATATATATATATATTATATATATATATTTAATTTGGGGTCCACCTCTGGTGTAAATTGTGGGAGCCACAGCCTCGGAGAAGTGCATAAAAAGGCTTCAAGGAAGAATATTTGGATTTCTTCCTGAAGCCGTTTGAATATTCCACTTCCCCTACCACCCATCTTTTAGTATATATTTTTTTTACCAATAGGAATATACATATATATATATATTTATATATATATATATATATATATATATATAATATATATATATATATATATATATATATATATATATATATATATATATATATATATATGCAGGTGTCTTAAGAAAACACGCCCTAATGTTTTCACCCGTACTGAGAATCGAACCACGAACCTCAGTGTGTGAGCTGAGTGAGCTACCAACCCAGCTACGGGTCATCTAGCCTAGTTCCGGCCTTTTGTGTATCCATAAGCTCTTGCGCCACCACCCACAGAACGATGTGGGACACACAATAAACTAACTATTACGGCAGCAAAAAGCTAAAATCTCCCTTAACTAAAACGTTTCTATTTTCTGTAAACATAAAATCCCGTGTGAGCCTGCCATGGGGTCCTCGAGCAAGTGTCTCTACACACCACCCTGCATACTGCTGGGTGAAGGCACTTACAGTAGACCCCACCCTGTGAAAAAAAGAGCACATACTCTTCCTGGTCCTTGAAGAGCCTTATTGAAGCACACTTCCTTATAGTTGGATTGCATTAAAACACGCACTTCCATGTGGTTTAATTGCATTAAATCATACTTTCCCTTGTGGTTGGTGAGCATTACATTCACGTGGGAGCGCTGAGCGGGCCCATACAGCACCTAGAGGAATGGGAGACGTTTGATCCATAGAAGGATCCGGCATCAAAGAACCCCCAATGAGGGACAGAGGTTGGGGAGCCTCTAAGAACAGTAGTTCTTGGAGTTTTGGAGCCTCAGAGCTCATCTAATGAGCCGTCTTCTTTCATTATTAACTGAGGATACATGAACAACAATCTACGTAAAGAGTTAATACTTCTTAATGCTGATCGTGGGTCCTAACTCTGAACCGGCACCACTATCGAGGCTCTTTCCTACCTTGGCTTTTTCCTACCAATGCTCTCTTTTATCGATGCTCTCTTCTACCTAGAGTCCTGGACTCTCTCCTGCACAGGCTTTGTCCTACCGATGTTCTCTTCTACCTAGACTCTCCTCCTAACTACATTACCAAAGGTCTCTTCATCAACACCAAATGTATTGTAAGGTGGTATCAGAGAGAGAAAATAATTCACAATGCACCTTATTGATCGTACCTGAGAGATCATGATGACAGTGAGAGATGGACACAGCGGCTGATGCTCCATAGATTTTACATCTGCCCTTTATATACCTCCTGACTTGCGTGACGTCATACATGATAACGGAGGTGATTGGTCGATGAGTACGCATCTTAGACATAATAAACACAGTTCCTGGACCAATGAGAGAGCAGACACACCCGCCACAGAGGAGTATTAACAGAAGGGTCGAGGGATGTTGAGGATTAAGGGAAAGACAACAGGGAAAGACTATCAGCAATACTCTTATGGGATTGTACGGTTCCTAGCTTCTTGGCCCGTATCATACTTAATCCTGAAACTGTGTAGGGTGTTTGTTTTCACAGCTTCCGCATCCACTTGGTTTTACTTTTTGCTTCCTTGAAACTGAAGAATTATTTCTTAATCTTTCAGAGAGACACCTGCAGTTCTTGTTCTTATCACCTCAATATCTCTTCCTATCCTGTTAACGTCTCTGAGTATAATTAATTAAATACATGTGCAATATCTGGGTATCTTTACTTGTAGACGTTTCGCTGTCCATTGGCTTTATCAATACATTATATGGACCTAATATGAAGACTGTAGAAATATATAAAGCCACTGGATGGCAAAATGTTAACAAGGATACCCAGATGTTACACATGTGTCTATTTAGGTAAGTGTGCATGTGGGGGAGGAATATTGTGTTTTAATCCATAAGAGCATCATCTTGTCGGTATTAAATACCAATGATATACGTCTCTGAGTATCTTTAGCGTTTTGATCAAGTCTACATTTGTCTTTCGGTTTTCCAAAGATGTTAATTTCAGCTCCTTTAAACTGCTCACTGTATATTTCCCTGACCTACTTTAGATGTAAGTTTCTTAATTATCTTGAGATTTTGTACACAGTTGATAAGGTGTGGACTTCCTCTTTCACTACACTACTTCTCTCCTTCCTTTATTCCATTCCTCCCTTCCTTTCCTTTTCTCTCTTCTTCATCGTCCTCCCTCCCTCACCACCCTACCTCCATCCTCCATCACTTCCTCCCTCCCTCTTTATTCTGCCACGAATATGATCAGCGCTTCAATCTTACTAGACGTTTCTGTACTCACCTAATTGTGGTTGGAGGGGTCGAGGCTCAGCTCCTGGCCCCGCCTCTTCACTGGTTGCTACTAGGTTCTCTCTCTCTCTCCCTGCTCCATGAGCTTTATCATACCTCGTCTTAAAACTATGTATGGTTCCTGCCTCCACTACATGTGTGTGTGTGTGTGTGTGTGTGTTAGTGTGTGTGTTAGTGTTAGTGTGTGTGTGTGTGTGTGTGTGAAGCAACGTAAAAATACCCTGAAAGAGAGAGAGAGAAGAGAGGACACAAGACAGTGCCAGATGAAGAGGGGAGGAAGAGAAAGTGGTGGGGGTTAGTGTTGGGTGGGCGGTAGGGCCAGTTTGGCAGTGCCAACCCACCATCGGCCCACTCGGGGAGCTGGCACCCACCTTCCGTCCTCACCCACACCCACTTGCGCATCCACCCAGCGCCCCTTACCTACAGTCATGCCTCCGACAGTGCCACCTTGAAATTGGTTCGAGTTTCGAGGCGAAAATTGGGTGTCAGTGCCTAGGTGGAGGAGGTACCCAGTTCCGGTGGAGGGTCCGTTAGGAAGTGCCACAGTACTCTCACGACCGCTAGGAAGTGTCCCAGTGCCATCAGCAATGTCCCGAGACCGCTCAGTGGTCCAGCCTGTAAGTAGATCCACCAAGCAAGAGCTCAGCAGCTAGGATTCGCTCCAGTACCCCCCTCCCAGGAGCGCGCAGTGGTCCGCCTAGGAGCTGGGGCACTGCCTAGGAAAGGAAACATTGCATACCCTAGGAGGTGCTCCTGCTGGGTAGGGAGCCTGAGACTACAACAAGGACATCTAAGCAAAGACCTGCTAGGGTGCTCCAAGAACCTTCAAGACTTGCTAGGACCGTCCGGCAACCTGCTAGTACCCTACTCAAATCTGCAGGATAATACTGCGTCGCCTACATCCTTGGAAGAATCGCAGGTCAGTACACAGTGCCCTAGCAATACACAGTACAGTACCAGTAAACAGCGCAGTACCATTGAACACAGACCAGTTGTCTTTGGTACTTTATATATTACAGACTAGTACATAAGAGACCAACACACAACAGACCAGTACACCAGATTATAGAGGTATGGGTGTTTGTGGGAAACAATCAGGCTGCAGCATTAGGGTTAAAAACAGCAGTTATTACCGGGATACCTCAGGGATATGTTTAAAAGACAATATTCAAAATAAAGTTGCTAGTAATGGCAAATCAATTGATCAACAAACAGAGAGATAGTAGAGGGCAACGAGTGACTAGCTCCCTTAAGGTTTACTATACAAATAGTAGGAGTCTAAGAAATAAGATAGATGAGCTAAGATTACTTGCAAGTGTAGGTAATATAGATATTATTGGTATAACAGAGACCTGGTTCAACCTGAAAGATAGAGAAATGCCTTCTGAATGCAACATACAGGGTTATAAACTATTCCACACTGATAGGGTCAACAGGAAGGGTGGTGGAGTGGCGATGTATGTCAGAGAAAATTTAAATTGTCTTAGACATGATATAAGATTAGAAACATCGAATACAGAATCTGTTTGGCTACAGTTTCTCGAGGGACGTGACAAATTAATTTTGGGTGTGATATATAGGCCCCCAAACCTTGATAGGGAGTGCAGTAAGCTGTTATGGGACGAAATTCATAAGGCATCTAGATATGAAAATGTTGTGATAATGGGAGATTTTAACTTTAGACAAATTGATTGGAACTATGTGACAGGAAATCTTGAGTCTAGTGACTTTCTTGATACAGTTTAGGACTGCTTTTTAGAACAGGTTGTGACAGAACCAACTAGAGGAAACGATCTGCTTGACTTGGTTCTTGCCAACAAAGAGTCACTAATTAATAATCTTGAGGTTAATGATGAGCTTGGGGAAAGTGATTACAAATCACTTAGTTTCAATATATCATGGAATTACCCAGATAACTGCAATCAAATCTCTGTCCCAGATTTTCGCTTGGCCGACTTCATGGGACTGAAAAATTACCTGGGTGGGCTAAATTGGGATGTCCTGACTATGGGTCAGGTAGGTGATCTTGATTGCCAATATGACGTTTTTCAGAGCATAGTTCTGGCTGCCCAGACAACTTTTGTTCAGAGTAGGGAAATTAGATCTAACAAAAATGATCCCAAATGGACGAACAATAGATTAAAACATCTCAATGGTCAAAAGAGAGGCATATATACCCATATCAAAATAGGGGATGGGCAGTTAAAAAATCAATACATTCAATTAAAGAGAGAAATAAAGAAAGGAATAAGAAAAGCAAAAAGGGATTATGAGGCTAAGGTCGCAAGGGATTCAAACACTAACCCAAAAGGGTTCTTTCAGGTATACAGAAGTAAGATTAGGGACAAGATTGGCCCACTTAAGAGTAACTTTGGTCAGATCACTGACAGTGATAACGATATGTGTGAAATTCTCAATACCTACTTCCTCTCAGTTTTCACCCAGGAAAATACTAGCGATATTTCTGAAATAATAGATTATGTAGAACAGGGTGACAATAAATTATGCACGATTGCGGTAACTAGTGACATGGTCCTCAGACAAATAGAGAAACTAAAACCTAACAAATCCCCAAGCCCTGATGAACTGTTTGCAAGGGTGTTAAATGAATGTAAAGAGGAACTTAGCATACCTTTGGCTAATCTTTTTAACATATCACTACAAACTGGCATAGTGCCTGATATGTGGAAAATGGCAAATGTAATATCTATTTACAAGGCAGGTGACAGGTCCTTGGCTTCGAACTATAGACCAATAAGCCTTACCTCCATAGTGGAAAAATTTATGGAATCAATAATTGCCGAAGCAATTCGTAGCCATCTTGATAGGCACAGATTGATTAATGAATCTCAACACAGTTTTACAAAGGGGCGTTCCTGTCTTACGAATTTACTAACATTTTTCACTAAGGTGTTTGAGGAGGTAGATCATGGTAATGAATATGATATTGTGTATATGGACTTCAGTAAGGCTTTCGATAGAGTTCCACATCAGAGACTATTGAGGAAACTTAAGGCACACGGAATAGGAAGAGAAATTTTTTCCTGGGCAGAGGCATGGTTGACAAATAGGCAGCAGAGAGTTTGCATAAATGGGGAGAAATCAGAATGGGGGAACGTCACAAGCGGTGTTCCTCAGGGGTCAGTGTTGGGCCTGTTGTTGTTCACAATTTACATAAACGACATATATGAGGGAATAAATAGCGACATAAGCAAATTTGCTGATGACACCAAAATAGGCCGTCCAATTCATTCTAATGAGGACATTAGAGCACTCCAGGATGATTTGAATAGACTGATGCAATGGTCGGAGAAGTGGCAGATGCAGTTTAATATAGACAAATGCAAAGTTCTAAATGTTGGACAGGAAAATAACCATGCGACATATAAACTAAATAATGTAGATCTTAATACTACTGATTGCGAAAAGGATTTAGGAGTTCTGGTTAGCAGTAATCTAAAACCAAGACAACAGTGCATTAGTGTTCGCAATGAAGCTAACAGAATTCTTGGCTTCATATCTAGAAGTATAAATAATAGAAGTCCTCAGGTTGTTCTTCAACTCTATATATTCTTGGTTAGACCTCATTTAGATTATGCTGCTCAGTTCTGGTCACCGCATTACAGAATGGATATCAATGCTCTGGAAAACGTACAGAGGAGGATGAGGATAGAGTGAGAGCCCTGAATCTGCACTCTCTCGAAAGGCGTAGAATTAGGGGGGATATGATCGAGGTGTATAAATGGAAAACAGGAATAAATAAAGGGGATGTAAATAGCCTGCTGAAAATTTCCAGCCAAGACAGGACTCGCAGCAATGGTTTCAAGTTGGAAAAATTCTGATTCAGGAAGGATATAGGAAAGCACTGGTTTGGTAATAGAGTTGTGGACGAGTGGAACAAACTCCCGAGTACAGTTATAGAGGCTAAAACGTTGTGTAGTTTTAA